CTTGAGAATGAAGCACCTATTCAGACAGGAGAATAAACTGATGAAAAAGTGGGGTGGAAATTGCCCACTCCCAGAGTACAGTGAACAGAAGACCTATTTAAACTCCTGTTTAATGAAGTTATGATTAAAAAGAGCCATGTTTGCCTTTCACATTACCACACTTCCTACGAATAACTATACAGAGGTATGCATCTTAAACAAAAGCACTGAAGCAATTGTTTATACTGCTGTGTTCAATCATGACCTAATACACACTTGCTAGTCTTAAATAGAGCAAGTCCTTGAATCAACTGGTAAATGGCAAGTCAACATTTACATAAACCTCATTGACTTAGTAGACCTACTCAATCTGGGACTAAACAGTCAGCTCAGACTTTAAAGCCTCAGCTCAAGCTCAAACATTTAATTACAGTTGTTGATTTAAAAAATAAAATAGTGTTGCATGAAAATAAATTTCAAAAACAAAAACTAAATAGGTCCCCAAAAACAATGTTTACTGAGCTTCCTAGTGTAGAATGCATTTCAAAAATTTATTGGATACCGTTAGGGCTAGTTTATAATTAGATAGTTGTTCACAATGGGTTTTAAACCAAATATGTTTAAACTCCTGGTATTCCGTAACTAGGCAGCCAAAGAGAACTTTCCACAGGGAATGTGCAAAGACAAGGGAGCTACTACTTCTTTTAGACAACATTAACATTCTACAGAGTCATAATCTAGTCACTGAAAGAGACGGGAGACGGTCTATTTGTCCTTCAAGTTGCTTTCACGCGGACAATGGCATGACAGAAGGATTCTCAGGATGGAAAACAAGCAACTGAAACATACGAATGTACAGAGTCCATTCCTGGCATGTAAGTCTGTGTGTGAGATTAACTGAAATGAAAACATAAAAAGCATGAATTAAAATTATAGAAACCAAACATAATGAAAATATAATTGCAAATATAAGTATATGGGTGGTGGGAAAGATGACATAACCTGTTGGGACATAATATACCATAATCAAGTCTAAACCTGTTTTTTAAAAATGACCAAGCCAACTTTTATGTAAGTTTCATTTATTCAATAGGTCTGGTTCGATCTTGGACTAACAATGGGATTCTGGGCTAGTTTCTCAAGAAACTTCTAATTAGTGCAGAATGCAATGGAACTATTACTTCTCATGAGCTAATAATGGCATTAAAATGGAGCTCTGCTACCTCTGCCATATCCAACCCCTGAATGGATAATGATGGCAGTTGCAAAGAAAACATTTTTCCAAACTCCGTCCTGAGATCCTGGATTAGGCAGAATAACTATCCATACCATTAAGCTGTGCTATTCTAAATCAGATACAGTGGCCCAAATCCGATTATTAAGTCATGCTGACATCACACAAACTGGATAACATTTGGAGACAAACTGACCCAAGTTATGAAATTAGACATTATGAGTTGCGTGATTTGGCATGCAATTGATAATGTCTGGCCAGTGACTCAATGGCCAGAATCTTTCTTTCTTTCTTTCTTTTCTTTCTTTCTTTCTTTCTTTATTTATTTATTTATTTAATTTAATTTACATGTCACACACACTACCCAAAAGTCTCTGGGTGGCTTACAACAATTTAAATACAATAAAAAGATAAAAAGGTAAAACAATTAAAAAACAATTAAAAATACAATACTCTAAAAATTGCATAGCATAGTAAATCACACTAGATTAGGCCAACTGACTCAATGGGCACTAAAATAAAATTTTTAAAAAGTCAGCTGGAAATCTTTAAACTGGAAATGTGCATATGAGGAAGCTTAAACACAAATATTGATTAGCATCATATATAGACTTTTAACAATTATAACTGAATCCATGAACCTCATTTTAGCAGAAATTTTAATATTTTTATGTTTTCATCTTTTAATCTTTTAATGGTATTTTAAATCATATACTGTTTAATTTATCTTTTAATACCCTGTTTTCCTGAAAATAAGACCTAACCTGAAAATAATCCCTAGTATGATTTTCAGGATGCTCATAATACGAGTCCTACCCCCAAAATAAGCTCTAGTTAAGTGAAACCCCGCCCTCCACCATTGTGCAGCAACCAGATGACATGCCTATATTTGAACAAATGTAGATTGTTGTACATGGAAAAAATAGAACATCCCCTGAAAATAAGCTCTAATGTGTTTTTTGGGAGCAAAAACTAATATAAAACCCTGTCTTATTTTCAGGGAAACACGGTATTTAACTTATTGTGTTTTTAAATTGTGTGAATTTTAATGTTGTGAGCCACTTTGGGCCCCTTGTTGGGAGAAATGCAGCATATAAATAAAACTCATCATCATCATCATCCTGGGAAGGATGAAACTATAAAGATCAAAGAAGCCAGTCAGTCTACTGAGATCCAAGTCCCTGAAACAGTGCTGAGGCCTGAGGCCCTGACTTCTCCATGTCTTGCACCAACATGATGAGCCACAAACTCCTAGGAAACCGACACTTTACCTAACAGCTACCACCTGCTGGATCTGGATGTATGGAAAAAAGTGGGTGGCACTGTTCCTTAATATTCTGATATGGAAATACGCTATCCATATCCATTTCATGCTACTCTTCCCAAAGAATGAATGCAGATGCTATATAAGAACAAAGAGAATCATTACAGTCAGACAGGGCTAACTATATAGCTTTAACAATATTCTGATTGCTATTGAATTTATACAATTAATGAACTACTTCAATACTAGCAGTATGTCAACTCAGTTAAAGTTGACCCTGCCAAACATAAAAATACAGTTCAGCTCACTTCGTGTTTTATTTCAAAATTATTTTTTACTGTCTTTTACTGCTAGCTTTTTTTTTAACTGCCTCATTTCTAGTCACATTTTAAGGACCTCCATAAACTGTATCTTGGGTCAGGTTGTCCAACAGTGGAAGGACATACTGCCCCTCTTGTAATTCAGGTGGATGAACTAAGGAACGTTATATTGTCTGAGCCTGTCTAACTGAGGTGAAGGGCCACAGATGAGTAGCAGGGCGCTTGCTTTCTATCAAAAAAGGTCCAGGTTTTCAGCTGGGAAAGACTCTTGTCTCAAGCCCTTAAGAGGTGCTGTCAGAGGTTGCTGCTAGATTAATGCTACTTACCACAGGGCTGTAGCTATGAAGTGAAGGAGTTTTACTGGCATCAGCCAGTTGCTGTGTAGATAATATGGAATGAGATGGATCAAAGGTCTGACTGGGGATAAAGCAGCTTCCTAACTTTATCCTATTAACACCACTGGCTTCCTCATTCTTACGCCCTCATGTGCAAATTGATATTATTTTAATAATGTGAGTTTCAGCTACTCCATTTGTGAGTTAGAATTGCAAAAAGAAGTGTTTATTGGTGCTACACAACTTATCAAAGCACCTCCTGTTACGGGAGTGGGCCACATACAGTCCATGAGCAAACATATCTGTTTGGATCTACAGCAGTATTCATGTGCTTCTGGATCTGTTTTAGAAATGTCATTCCAGAAAATGGAAAAATGCAAAACAATATGACTTGTGCTCTATCATTACATGGTGGCTTCGGAGTATTTTCCAGCATAATTATTTACTCACCTTCAGCTCCCATGACACAACTGGCAGCCATTGTTTCTGTTTTATTTTAGCATTTTAAACACTACAAATACTAGACTGAACATTAGAGATCAATAGTGAATGCCACACAAGTGCAAAAATAGGCCAGATATGGTTAGTGTTTCTGCATTTGGCTGAATATAGCACGCTTCTCTACCTGTTACAATTGCTAAGGAATGGAAGGACAGGTGCCATCCATGGTACTGGCAAGAGAAAAAAAATAAATGTGGTTCAAAACTCTAATACATGCTCAACAGGAAAATGCCACTTTTGACTTACACTGACTATCCTGGAACAGTCCTGAGTAGGAAAAAACCTGAAGCTGTGTATTCAATGATCAACTCGAATTAATCTTTACTTTTTTGCATTACTGACATTTATCAAAAATGGATAGTCCACCTGCCAAAAGGGTCTGGATCATTAACAAATATGAATATTTTAATGCAGGAAGTGTACATCCAAATGTGTAAAAAAATATAGTAATACAATTTAAAAAATCTAAACCACTTTGGTTTTTTTATAAGTAGCTAGTCGACCTAGAAGCTGTTGCTACGAGAAGCCCCGGCTTGGTGATCAGGCACAATGGAAAAACATATTCTTTAAGCACAGGGAGGAATCACTTTGCTATAGCAAGATGGATCTCCAAACTCTCAAGACCCTATGGGACCTCTTCTCTCCTTTCTGAGGAAGCTCAGTTTCAGGAAGGGAATAAGGTACCCTGGAAACCATTCTGGATTGCACTGAGGCCCCCAACAAGTTCTATAAAGCCTCACCCTCTAGCTTTAAAACTGACTCATTCAGCTCCAAACAAAAAGTATTTTATGGAATTCAATGACACCAGATATGTCTGGACCAGTAGTTTAGGTGACTTCACAGGAAGATCGGACAAATTCCCAGCGATCAGGAGATCTACTGCTTCAGGATGTGGAGGTTTTGTTTTACTAAGTTAACAAACTGGATTTCAAGACTCCATCACACAAAAATTCCAGCAACTCTTGATTATTGAATACTAAACAGCACCATTTTGTGTGTAAATTGTCTTATGTTATTTTCCTGGTGTCCAGCTCATACAACAGTTATTTTAAAAAATGAAAGATTGTGGGAATATCTGTGAGGCAATCCTAGGGCTATCGCAAGCATAATCTCGATACATCTTTATAACCCTGAGACGATTAAAAGCTTTATTTAATATCTGGAGAGGTTATGAAGGCAAGGCTAATATTTATGTTTAGTGCTATAATAAAGAAGAAGCACTAAAGGGAAGTAGGTGCTTTTTTCTAAATCTGGAAATCACTATTTTTAAAAACCAGTTACACAGCCACATTAGCTTTCTCCCGCTAAATCCTTTTCTATGATCAAGTGTACCTTGAAAAATATGGAAAACCAAGGGGGAAGCTTACTTTTTCTTGTCTTTATCTTTCTTCAGCGGTTGCTGTGAGGTGGCCTGCAGAGACTGACTTGGCATGCTTTCGAAGGCCACCTTTCGTCGGTTGAACGCATTCATCTCCTCCTCCAGCTCTCTTCTCTTTTCCTCCACCTTCCTCTTCTCTTCCTGATGTATTCGTTTCAGTTGCTCAAACTTCTCGTGTAGCTTTGTTTTTTTTGGGAGGGGGAGGGGAGTGAGGAAATTTGGTCAGTGATGCTTTCGTTTCTACCCTTGTCCTCCAGTAAATGTTACTGCTCTGGTGGCTGTAGCAGGAGCCACCATGTAGAATGAACTGTTTAGCCCTTTCCCTCCCAAACATACATAGCAATGTGGTGATCTGCCAGACTCACATGATTTATTTTTTACAAACAATACCAGGAGGATGGAGGAGCCAGCTATGGTGAAAGCAGTGGTACAGTAAAGCTAGGACACACAGAATCAAAGTCCCAGGACTTTCAGATTAGCAGGGACTCTAGCATCATCTGCCACATCTCTGATAGGCTTCCTTGTTCTCCCTGAGCTTGGCCACGATTTTTTACAGCAGCTAGAAGTGAAATGGATCTTCCACAAAATAATGAATTGGTACAAGCTCTCCACTTCTCCAATGCAAAGTATTTTGTGAGAGATTTAACCTCCAAAGGACAATTAAAAGCTATTAGCTTTACAAATGGCCTGCAGGATCCTCATTTGATGACACAGAACTCTCCAGCTGTTTGTATTTCTAGATCTTCCTATAAAGAGCTCTGCATACTGAGATAAAGTCCACCTGAATTCCAGTGGGTGAAAGCAGTTAACTATCTTAGTCTCAGAAAAATTGCTGCCTAAAAGGACAGTCCTCAGGTGACGTTCAAGTTTTAAACCTCTGCCTCCGCAGGATGGCAATACAATTTAAGTGTTTGCTGGGAGATTTCTCTCAACATGTAAATATGAAGAAAATAATTTCATGACTTAGGGAAGACACAGCTGGAAACATCACATGGACACAGTGCCAGATTTGACATTTACCTCACTTTCAGTGTTTTAGACACTGAAAGACAACCCTGCCTCTCTTTAGAAGAAGGGACTGGTAAACCATTTTCGAGTACTCTGCACCTAGAAAACCTTGGAAAGGGTGACCATGAGTTGGAATTGACTTGAAGGCCCATAATTATTATTAAACATGCAGTGGGAGGGGCAGACTAGTCTGTCCCATATGTTGCTCTCCTCTCGAGAATAAAGGCAGGGTATAAATATCATAAATGAACAAATAAACCTGTAGAGGTGACCTTCTGAGGAGAAAAGACACCTCTTCCTTTAGAGAGATTCCTCATGCAGCCTCCACAAACAGCCAAGGCTTTCTTTTTCCAAAAAGTCACCCTTCATGTGTAGAAGAGGTAAGCTGTCAAGTCTAGACTTTCCCCCCTTGAACAACTGGCTCTTTAGGCAGGCCTTCCTTCCTGTCAACACTTGAATTTATTTTTATTATAATTTTCTGTTTTCCCATCTTGAGCATTACTAAGCATTACTAATCACTATTGTTTTGAATTGTTTTTAACTGTTTTAATTTACAATGTTCAATGGAACCCGCCCAGAATAGACTTTGTCTAAAAGGGCAGGATAGAAATCTAATAAATAAATAAATAAATAAATAAATAAATAAATAAATAAATAAATAAATAAATAAATAAATAAATAAATAAATAAATAAATAAACAAACAAACAAACAAACAAATAAAGAAACAAATTTCTCTGCCATAAACAAATGACTGAAAAGAGCTTTTCCCTCCACATGAATCTGCAACCAAGATCCTCTGCTACACTCACTTCTCTCTCCTTCTCTTTTAGTTCCGACTCTGTCTCCTTGACCTTGTTCACAAACATTTGTCTCATTTCTTCTTCCTTCTTCTGCAGCTCACAAAGGAATTCTTTTCTTTTGGTCTCATATGTTTCTTGAAGGCTGTTTTTTAAAAAAAAAATCACAACAATGTCACAATATATTCAAACCTCAAAGCATGTCAACATTACAAAAGAGATTTTTCAAAACAGCAGTTAAAAATTATGGTAGGTAGCTGAAAGGATATACTTAGTCAAAGATGGCACATGCCCCCAAAGACAGAGGTGGCAAAAGATCACCATTGAAACATGGTATGTTAGAGTCACTGAAAAGACGTATGGTGGAGGGGCTGATCTCTCACCTGAATGGCTGGCTGTCAGGATCAGTGTCCTTGAACCCCATTTCTTCCAGCTTACACCGTCTATAGAGCTCATAGTGGCGAGTGTGAGTTTGTTCCCGAAGATCTTCCATATTTACTCGGATCAACATTTCTCGCAGTTTCACAAAGTCACAGTGGCTTTCATTTTCAACTGATGAAACAAAGAGAGGAAATATAAACAATGGGGGAAATTGATACATTACATACACAGCAACTAGACTCAGGACCTTGATGTCTATTTTTCTTGGAATAACACACTAAATAGAATTTAGAGCAATGTTTTATCTGATAATAGATTCACAGCATCATGCAAATAGGAACCGAAAGTTTTATGGTGTGATCCTTTAAGTGGCCATTCAAAAATAAATAACAGATGGCTCAAAAGAAACTGTTCCCTAGCAACTGCATTTAGGATAGCACCCTTAGTATAATTAAAATAATATCATTTATTATTACATTGGCTGAGATCCAGCAGCGTAACTTATACATGGCAGCTTTTCCAGAAATCAAACATTTTCCACCCCCCAAAGTCCCAAGGCTCCCATGGAATCCACTTCACATGGGAAAGTCATTGGGGGTCAAAGGATGAAGAAGAGTCTTTATTTCCACCCTAACACACAAAAAGACCCCTCAAAATGCTGCAATCAATGACATCATCAGCCTTATACAACATAGGGAAACTGCTGGATTTCAGTTATTATGTTATACAGTATTATATTATTCATACCACTTGGTCATTGTTTTTAGGCTTATTTACATGTTTATATTATGCATTTATTTGGCAGGAAATTGGTTTTGAATTATATAATTTATTCAACTGAATGCAAACTGTTTACTGAATTCAGTTGCTTGTTTACTGAACAATAATTACTCTTGCACTATGGCAACATTTTGATTTTGGGATAATATTGTTATAGATAAGTTAACAGATCAACTGAAATGTTATTTATATGCTTTGCTCTCCTGCTGAGGGTAGCTTGGAATTCAAATGGTGAACAGACATAGTCTTCATGGAAGTCTTTCTCTAATTGGAATTTGTAACACATAACATGCATTAGAACCCAAAGCAAGCTCAGATATAAAAGCAATGTGAATCTACTGCCTATCACAGCTGCAGGGCAAGAAGACATTTCATAACAGCCAAAGGAGGGAGGGAAGGAAGGAAAGGGAGAGAGGGAGGGAAGGAAGGAAGGAAAGGAAAGGAAAGGGAGGGAGGGAAGGAAGGAAGGAAGGAAGGAAAGGGAGGAAGGGAGGAAGGGAGGATGGATCACTGTGAAACCAACCCAGCTTTTGACTCACCTTGCACCACTCCCCACGGATACTGTCGAGCTCTCACCATTTTATTTCCAACCTTGACCTCTTCTGTGCTTCCCACAACAGCAAATGGGAGATGAGCCTGAAAATCGCACATAATTATAATCTTGTTTTCTATGTCTGAATAATGAAGATAGAATTGCAAAGCTAATAATCTTAGTGTGGAAAATCTTCAGCCCTCTGCCATTTAAAAACTGCTATGAGTTTTTTTAACTGAACAACAATTGAAAATTTTATATAAGCATGCATTCAGAATTTCAAAGTACATAGATCCTGTCAATAATGCTTTTTGATGGACTGTTACACACCTCATTCTAATGTCCCAACTGGCTACTTTGACAGCCTTTCTCAGATGTGTGTTATATGGTTGAAAGCAATTTGCAGAAGTTTTGCCTCCTTAGACTGAATGAAGAAGAGGCACATCTTGTCTCAGAAATCTATACCATTTATGATGCATTTCAGTGATAAAAATATGCACAAAAGTATGCATATGTTTGAACAATGTAAACCCCACCCCCAAAAAACACCTTTTCTTAAAAAATGCTTATGGAACTATCTTTCATCAACTGGAAAATGTTTAAAAATGCAGATATTAGAATAAATGCATACCAAAATGTATCGATGTGGGGGTAGGGAATGCACACACATTTCTGTGTGGGAATTTTTTTTTAATGTCTTGCAACTTGATACAGAACTGTACAAGAAGAATGCCACAGGATTCTGAGACATACAATCAAAAGATGGCTCAATATTTACAGACCAACTATCCTACTACAAGTTTAAAGAAGAGACATAAAAATGTACTGTTCTGGAAATCAGGTTAGTTAGAGCTATATATAACCCTGTTTCCGTATCCTAAAATTAACATTAAGTTAACATGGAACAATGAGAGTGTGTGAGCCCTGACATCTCCAGATCTCCATCTTGGATTCCTAATCACCTTGACAGCCTCTGTTTGTAGAGGAGACTCCCATCCTCATACTGTTTCTTTCCACATGTGGAACACTATGATAGAGGGATACACAAATAGTATCCTCCCTTCCTTGTATGTTTACCTGAACTGGATGGATAACAGAATGCCAAAATATGGTTATATTTAACTTTTTCATCTACTAAGAAATACTAAGCAATTTTGTAGACCTACGAACAGCTCAGTGGTTCAGGAATCTGGCTGCAGAGCCAGAGGCTGGGAGTTTGATTCCCCCACTGTGCCTCCCTGACAGGGGCTGGACTCAAGTGATCCACAGTGTCCTTTTCCAGCTCTGAAGTTCTAAGTTTATTATTATTTAGACATGGAGGTTCAAACTTTTTTATGTATAAAAGACTGGATAGCCAAACAAGAGGATTCTGCCACTTTCTCACATGCAATTAAAAAAAAACCACACAAAAAAATTTCGGGAAAAGCAATACTTGAGCACTACCATGAGCTAAATTTGCATTATGTTCAGTTTTGAAATGTCATCATTATACATTTCAAAAATTACATACCAATATGGGGTAATAGGTATAGTAAAGTCTGAAGGAAAGCTATGCACTCTGACTCACATCACGGGAGAAGGGCATTGGACACCAATGACTAACTAACTAACTAACTAACTGAATGAATGAATGAATGAATGAAAATGAATGAATGAATGAATGACTCACATTCATTACCGAGTTAATCTCAGCGACAGCATCATCATCTGTGGGAAACTGATAAATCTGGACTCCGTTACTGACCAGTTCACTCATGATCTTAATCTTAAACTTGTGCAACTCACTTTTGGAGATGGTGTCAGCTTTGGCAATTATTGGGATAATATTCACCTGAACAGGAAAGAAAATCAAAGGAAACAATTTAAAATGTGAAATCACCAACAGGAAAAACTAGATTTTTTTTTTTTAAAAAAAAAATTTAAATACTGTATTTTGGAGGTCTGTTTTTGCTTAATTATTATGTGAAATCACCAACAGGAAAAACTAGATATTTTTTATTTAAAAAAATTAAAATATTTTGGAGGTCTGTTTTTGCTTAAACTGCAATTAATCAAGTTCTGGCTCTAGAACTGGATTACAGGGAGCAAACCATGCAGCCAGAATGGAGTGAAGTAACAAAAACAAAGAGGTTGAAAGGTTTGTTTTAAGTAGGCTGGTTAGCTTGGAATCCTTTATGTCTCATTGTATATTTGGTCAGTCTGTGAAGGGAAGGAAATGTCATATGAAATAATTTATGAATGTTGGAACGGGCCTGTAAGTTATTTGGAATAGACTGCTTAATAAAAATGCCTCTTTGACAATATTAACATTTTGATTGGAATGACTTAGGACGTTAAATGCCTTTTGACACTGAACTGACAGAAGTAATTTGACTTTCTAATTTAGCGTTTATTTGATGGTAGAATAAATCATTTATGTCATATGTTTCATATATAATGTATCAAATATGGACACTGGATATCTGATAAATGTCATTTACATTCTGCTATTACTCAGTTGATGACAACACTGTAAGGAAACAGAGACGGAAATGATTATAGGCCTGCATCTCTCAACGGAGAGAGTCCCTCCAAAGAGTCCAAAGAAGTACCTCCATGTATTATTTCTGTGCTGCCTGCTTTTAGCCCTAAGCCAGAACACAAAAGGTTGTTTCTTTCAGGAACATAGTATAAAATTCAGATTGTATATACTTCACTAGCCATTCACAATCCCTCAAATTAAAGAAAAACAACTTCAATGTCTTCCAGATTTATACATCCACAGCCCACCCTGCCCTTTTTAGGGCCATTACATTATTGGGATTCTCCTCAGTAAATACCATCTGATTTCACTTTGTAAACAAAGCTTTTTATGCATGTACAAAGAAAAGACTGAAGAGAGCTGGGCAACCAGAATCTGTCTTGCAATAGATGAAGGAGGTGGATGGGAAATGGTACCCAACTGTGAACAAGCCAGGCCAGGCCAGGCCAGGCCCCTCTTTGCATGCCTCTTCACATTGCTAAATATTGTAGACATCTTGAAAATAGCAAAGAGATGTTTAAGGTACTCCCCCCCCCTTAAGTATATGTCTCTTTTCTTCCTGAAAGAAGCCATGTCCTCCTGCTGTAGAAATATCATCCTCTTCCAAGGACAAACAAGACAGTTTATCTGGCTAAAGCTCATGCTAAATTTCTGCAGTCTTGAAAAATGAATAGTTTTAGAAGAAGTAGTCGTGTTAGTCAGTCAGTAGTAGAGTATCAGGCAAAAGGAAGGAAGGAAGACAAAAATGTCGTGGTACCTTAAACACTAACTGCTATATTTTAATGTGAGCTTTTGTGGACAAGCTCACATTAAAATATAGTGGTTAGTCTTTAAAGTGCCACAATGTTTTTGTCTTCTTTATTTTTTATCTGTTGTTTTGTTTTTGCTTGAAGAAGGAAGTAGCCCAGGAAAATTTGCTACATTTAACTATTGTGGGAAGGCATCAAATCACAGTTTAGTCCTTCATGGAAGGTGGATCCTTCTTCCCTTTAAAAGACTTTGGTAATTTATCCCTTGTGCTATTAAAAACAGTGCCTTCAATACAAGCACTATTCTTTGCAGTGTTGTCTCTAGCGTGGTATAACAACTAGCTCAATTTGCAAGTGTTAATATTCAAGTCCTGAGCATTTTTTTGTCTTGGTTGCTGGGTACTCTTTCCGCAGTCTTTGTATTCAGATGCCCCATGGAAATAATTCACATTATTCCTGTTGATGGTATTAATGAAGTACAGTTATGGTGAACAGTACAAAAAACAGAATGAAGGAAAATCAACGTGCAAAGCAGCAGCTGTTGCTTAGCAATCATGATACATTTCATTAAACCCAACTAGTACGCGCAATTGGCTTTCCAGCCCAAATGCCTATTTTCCCCAGGGCTTTACACTAAGGGGATAAAGAAAAGCCAAGATCTACTAGGATTTACAGTAATCTCTGCTGATTACAGTCTTTTGCTCTGAAGGCATAAATGAACTGGAAGAAATGAAGATTTTTGAGCCCCTTCCATGAGCACACAAAACAAATACATCTGCTGGGTGGCAGTTCCTTCCCATGGCAGGCCTTCATCTGTCATGCCTAAAGTTCTGGAGGGCTCCCTAATCTTAGCTGGGGCCTTCCTGAGGGTGCAAGGGCTACTGGAAGACAGAGCTAAAAAGCCACACACACACATCCATTGTGCCAGCATTTCACTGCACATGTTTGGGATCTCAGCCTTTGGCTTCCACGTGCTACCCAGAGGAAGGGCTGCTTCTCCACCCCCTCTTGCTTATGCCGCTTTTTAGACCTTATTCCAGAATGGAGCAAAATTACATGTTCTGACAGTGGAGTAGTCATCTAAAAAAGTAACTTCAAGCTCTGGTTCAGCTTGTCTTTTCAAGACTGCATTTTGAAATGAAGAACAACATGGGCAACTTTTCACCACTGAGGGTGAAAAGTGTCTCTTAATTTTTGCAGGGTTCAGCTCTAACTCTCCAAAAGGTAATTCATTGGTCCTCACAAAACTAGAACCCCCTTCACAAAAGTCCAGGGAATCTAGCTGATCTTCTCAGCCTCCTCTTACAAACTAACTTTCAGAGCTGAGAATGAAGCTCGAATTGATCTCCTGAACTATACCACCTTAGAAAGAGTATGAAAAAGTTTAAAAATGTGCAGCAGTGCCTATTTATTCTGCTGATGTTTATACCAAAAGATAAAATAACATTTATAGATCTTTCATGCATATACCTTTAAGAGAAAAGCAGTTTTCCAAAGCAGAACCATGTTTTATGGTGCCAGTAAGTACACTGAGCTAAGATAAGAGGGTCAAGCACATAGCTTTGGCTCCTTTTATCTCCTCTGTTTTTGTTCGATATGAACTGCTAGACATGGTTCAATTCCAATCTGCCTCACGTGTTTCAACTACATTTCTAACCATCTACTTTTTAGCGGAAGAATCTGGCTTTGAAGACAGTTTTATGGTTGTCTGGAAGTAATTAGATACAGTAGGCAACAACTGCTTTCCTTATGACTTCAGCCGTACATAAATGCATGATGGGAGAGCGAACTGTGCAGAAGGACCTTCCAGGCTGGAAAAGCTAGGTGAAGTCATTCTGATCAACAAGATACACGAGTATCACAAGAAGCCCAGACAGTCTAGCCATGTCTGACATCATTTTGCTGACACCACTGAGCTGTAGAACAGCTGCCCCCAATCAATGCATAACCAATTCAGATGCCTACCAAAATACATCTTTGTAAAGCAGATGTCTGATCTCCAGCCAATATAGTATCCAAGCCAGGCTGCACTCAGTTCTCAGAAAAAGGCAGAATCGAGAGCAGAGAAACACAGGCATCATTCAAGTTCAACTCCTTCCCCCCCAATTTTGCTGCCTGAGGCAACGGACAGCATGGCACCACATTCTGTTCCTTGATGCCGTTTACAAAAGCCAACCAGACCTGCAGCTGACTCTTGTTCCACTGTTAAAGAACATCTTGCCTCATATACCTTAAGCCTAATTTAGGGATCATGAGGTAGACCACATGCTACATACAGCTTTATTTAGTCTACATCAGGGGTGTCAAAGACAAGGCCCGCGGGCCAAATCCGGCCCGCCAGACCTCGTCTGATGGCCCGTGGAGCCGCCGCCAGCCTTACAGATATAACCGGCCCTTTGATGGGGACCAAACTGCTGATGCGGCCCCTGATGAATTTCAGTTTGACACCCCTGGTCTACATGATGAGGCACTTGCCTCATTATAGCTGAAATCCTCTGGCATAAGTTACATCTACAGAATGAATAGTAACGTCACCAGCAGGAGGAGATGTTCAGCAATTGAAGACTTCCCCCTTCCCTCCTGCTGCTTGTCCAACTTGTGACTCATCCAGCAGCAGTGGTTTTTGGTAATTAAATACTTCCTCTTTCCATCTTGCACCTCCCATGGCTTCCATATGATAAAACAGATTACTCATGCATTGGACAAGCTGCAAAAGAGATCCCTGTCTTTGTCTGATGCTACAGCTGGCCCTAACATTACTTGCTGTCTAATACATAAGACAGCAAATAATGCTGTCTTCATCAAGATCGCTTCATCAAGGTTCATATCACAAATTCAGTTGTATCGTCACCAAATTTTTATATCTTCCCTGTAATGCAATACACTGATGTAAAATGGGGAAAATATTTCCTGCTAGTTTTCTGTTGGTATCCTTGCCACTGTTAAAGAACTTCAGCTAGGCCATAGCAAAGGAGGGCAATACATGAATAAGTCTGTATCTCCTTCATAAGAAAGCGGATTATCTGCTTTTCTTACAACTGATCTCTGGCCAGGTATTTCCACTTTGCATGTGAAGGGTGGCCAAAGTAAAGCTAAAAAACAGACCATAATCATGGATGTTTGGGACTGATTCTTACTTTGCCTTCTCTATTCAGCTATGGAGACTCCAATACAGTATAAGAGTTAGTCAAAACGTACTAGCTTTCTTAGAGGCAGTTGCTGTGGGGAAACTAGAAAGCTACAGCCCCACACAAAAGCAGCCTGCAAAGCTCTATCTTAGAATCAAAGAATAAAAGCTAAATGGAATAAAGAAAGTGAATGTTTTTTAAAAAAAAATGTTTAGTTTCCCCTGCTTTCTTGCAGAAATGGGGCATAACTGCTAGTCAAAAAGAACCCAACTGCTGAATGGTAAATCAATACCTACATATCTTGCAGAAATGGGGCATAACTGCTAGTCCCAACTGCTGAATGGTAAATCAATATCTACATAAACTTACTGATTCAGTGAGTCTCTTCTGGGAATTAGATTTAGGCCAATGACTACCTTACTGATTCAGTGAGTCTCTTCTGGGAAGGGTACGCAATTAGATTTAGGCCAATGACTATGGACACATATGTAGCTTACCTTATGGGGGAAAGTTATGTTATGTTATTCTTCAACAAACAAGACATTCCTGTTAAAAGCTAGAAAGGGGGCAGTGACTGATCTAACATTTTAAAATGGTTGTTCTAAGTGTTAAATATTCTTTATGTTAAAAATAAGCCAGACCATAAAGAAGATATGAAGATAATTGTTTCTCGTTTTGAACATGGATCTTTTGATGTCAATGACCTTTGCTGCCTGCTCCAAGCTTCCCTCGCAGCATGAACTTCAGAAGACTTGGTATTTCTCCCTGGACACCATGGGATAAATCAAGGTATTATCTGTATCCCAGTGAGCAACACTGCTCGGCTACTACTGCTTCAAATGATTGTTGCCTTTGATGCACCGCAGTGTTTCCCAGTGGCTACTGCAGCAGTTGCAACTCATGCTGAGTAATGTACTGCTCCACAACCTTCTCATAACTTGTCTGTTAAGCTGTTTTCCAAACAACTGCTGGACCAATCTTGTTGGAAGTGGAGCAGTGATTTCTAAATTCCACAGGAAGCTGCAATTTTCTTTCCTAACCCATTTCCCAACAGCTTTAGCCAACATTGCCAATGGCAACTGTGTGAATTACAGTCCAAAAAAATCTAGAAAGCAGAAGGTTTCTCAGCTTGGCTCAAACTTACTCATATATACCTCAGCAGAACCAACAGTGCTGAAGATGCCCACACAATCCTAGATTCTGACAGAACCATATTCAAGAGGTTTTATAATTCTCATGCAGCCCAGAAACTGGTTTAAATGATCATATGGTAAGCAGGGCAAAACTCAGAAGGCCTGCTGAGAAGTTGTAATGTTTGACCTCCTTAGTGGTGACAGAGGTGAGAAAAAAATATATAAATAACAATCAGAGGCGGTTCTCACATTCTATGACGATTCAGTCCAAAACAGCAAGTATTAGAAATGCTTCCAGACAGTTAAAAAAAACCCCAACAACCATCAAGTCTGCTGGTAGATGTGAACAGAACTGAAAGCCAATTCATGTCGGACATGTCTAATCACATACAAACCTTACTATCCAGGTTTTTCATGGTTACCAGATCCAAGGACTTCAGTGAGTGGCCAGTTGGAGTGATAAAGTAAAGGCAGACATGGATTCTTGTATCGTGATAATTATAGAGGGAACGCCGGATTTTCAGCTCTTCTTGCAAGTAGTTTTCAAACTGCGTATCAATGTAATCTACTATCGGCCTGTAACTAAAAACAAATTCCATTAGCAACCTGAATGGAACATTTAAAAGCAGAAATGATGAGGTACTTTCCGATGTATTGTTTAGAAATCAAACACCTGTAAGAGGAATGCCCTAAACTTTCCAAATCCAACAAGCTTTTATCAAAATCCAATGCAAGAGATGTTTAAAATGCCTTTTGAGAAACAGGACTACCAGGTTACACTAAAATTAGCAAAAAGGTGGCACCCCTATGGAGTAGCAGAATGGAAAACCAGGTGAAAATGGCTTGAGGAAACTTTCGTATCAAATACTATGTTCTGCAATTGAATAGCAATAGCTATAAAGCAAACATAGTAACATGGAAGTAGAATAGCTCACTACACTGTTAAATAAATTGATTATAATGCTATGTGTTCAATAGTCTCTGTAACATAAAATAAGAATATGAGATTCATTGGAATGCTGCTGATAGATAATACAATAAAGCCTGCTTGTCTCTTAATCATATGCCTGTAAAACAGGGTCATTAGCAATTACTACTTAATGCAGACTGGAATGGGGGAACCAAATTCCTCTAAGAAGGAGCAGAACAGAGATTCAGTCACTTTCCAAAGAGCCGCAAATGCTCACCCAACCTGAACATTCTTGCTGCTGCTGTTGCTGCATCTACTGCCCTGCTTATTTTAGGAAACAAAGTTAGAGAGGAGAAAGACTACATGCAGAGGAAGAGGTCAGGAAGCAACAGAGAAAACAATGGTTGTTTTTTTTTTATCCTGAAAAAGAACTGAATAGCACCCAGATTAATGGCCTCTCTAGTCCAACACTCTGTTTCCTACAGGAGTCTGCCAGACGACTCGGAGAAGCAAGACGACAACATCCTCCTCAGGTTGCTCAGAGCCAGCGCCATCTTCCACCCATGAATCCCTCTCACCAAGTATCCTTTTGTGTCACTATGGAGGGAAGAGGCCTACTGGCTGCCATCTTGCAAACCAGACAGGGAATTTAAAAAAGGCCACAGTTTGGAAAGCAGGAGGAAGAGAATTGGGAATGATGGAAGAAAACAGCAGCACCTCAACCTCTGCTCTATCATTTCCCTTTTAACCAGCAGACTACACAACACTTCGCACTACAACTAATCAAGGACCAAGAACGAATATAGCCAGCACAACCCATAAGCCAAAAGCTCAGGGCCAACATTCATTCTTATATCTGGACGTTGTGCAGATGCTGTTAACAGTCCAGGGATGGGGAATCTCGTTCATTTCACAACTTCCATCCAGTTAGTCTGAACTGAGCAACATACATTTTGAAGACACCTGCTAATTAATGGAACATAATGTTTTAAGTGTTGCCTTACTAAGTTTCCATAGATTCAGCAAGGCTACCCTTCTTGGGACTAACAACTGGGTTTTGGCTCAGATGTTTTGGAAATCAGCTCTCCTAACTACTGATTACTGTCCATGCTGAGTCACTGGGTAGTGCTGGACTTGGGCAAAGAAGGCAGTTTTCTCTTAATGTTCTGGTTTGTGAGAAACAAAGTTCTCATCTAGCTTCCTAACTTATGTATCTTCTAAACCAGAGATGGCCAATCTCAGCAAGACCAAGGGCTTTTTCTCATATGCCAGCAATCCATGCTGGAGGAGGCTCTTGAGAGAGGGTAATGGCACTAACTGAACATAATTTTTTTTAAAAAAAATCTGAAAAGTTTTTTTAAAGGTTTTGACGGTATGGTAAAAAAAACCCATCTTGTGACCTCTGGTGGGGCAATCAAATAATTTTTAAATAATAGAAATAAACCAGGGTAAGAGAGTCCCTTGAAGCATTGCAGAATTGCCTTTCATGTCGCTGAGAGAGGGTAATGGCACTTACTGAACATAAATGTTTTTTCTAAAAATTTTTTAAAAAGTTTTTTTATAAAGGTTTTGACGGTATGGGAGTGTGTTCATTAGTGTGGATTTCCCAATGCCAGTCTCTCCTATGAAATACAAGGAAGGAAAAGAAGAGATATGGTGTAAAGACTAACAAGAGAAAGGTATGCACAATCTGAATAAGAAACAAACAAAACATTACCACACATACACCCTTCTGGTACGAAAAGTATAGATACACAAAACTAAAATGCAAATAGAACTCCCAGTGTTTTAATTACTGGCAGAAACATGTCTTGAGAGACCAAAAATTATTGTGAAATGGGTTGACATATTTTGATAAATGGTAAAGCATGAGAAAACCATGGGCTGGTGCTTGATGATTCAAGGAGATGTTGTTGAAAGAGCCAGAGAAGCAAGCACGACCTGAATAGGGAAATGTTTCATTCCTGTTCAAGGGAGTGCAGGGATATTCTGAAGTATGAATTAACAAAAAGCTCTCAAAACTGATTCAGGTCTACTAATAACTGAGATACAGTGGTGCCTCGCACAACGGGCGCCTCGTAGAGCGATGAATTCGCTCTACGAGGCCGTTTTTGCGATCGCAAATGCGATCGCAAAACGGTGCCCGCATAGGGCGAAAATCGCAGAGCGAAGGTCGATAAGCGGTTCGCTTACCGACCCTTGCTTTGCGACCCGCCGATCAGCTGTTCGGCAGCTACAAAATGGCCGCCGGAAGCCGCAAAATGGCCGCACACAGCGTTTTCGCGCCCTCGTAAAGCAAGGGGAGGGCGCGAAAATGGCTGCCAGCCATAGGGAAGCATCGTTGAACTGTGAGTATTCGGCCCAATTGGAATGCATTAAACCATGTTTAATGCGTTTCAATGGGCTTTTCTTGCCCTGTTCAACTATGCTTTCACACAGCGAGGGTTAATTCGGAATGGATTAACCTCGCTGTGCGAGGCACCACTGTACTGTCAAGATCCTTCAAGCTGTAGAAAGATTGTTCATGCCTTTTTTCAAATTTATGGACTTTAATTTCAGTTCCTTCTGAGTAGCCACAATGTGGCATCAGCACTCAATACTTCACTCTTCCTGTCAAAATTAACACTGCATTTATTTTATTATATTAACTGGCACTGAATACAGAACAAAGTCAAAGATTCAAAATTCTTCAGTATCCTCTGAATTAAGATCATGCTAAGGCAACAGTTCTTAACCTTTTCTTTACCATGGACTCCCTTTAAATATTTTTGTTGCCAAAAAGACTTAAGATTTAAACCCCTAAAGTGCATCAAATATTTATTTAAAGTTTCTCATGAAGGGTCTCATCAACTGATATTCAGAGCTATACTGGTGACACTTTTTAAGATGACTCAAAGAAGCTGCTGTGAACAGAATGCACCCTCATCAACATCAATAGTTCTTTTACATTTCAAATTCAGCCAGCGATCCATTCTGAGACTCAGCCAAAGTCTTTTGTTATGAAATTAATTGCAATAATATTGAAAAGTCACTTTACCTGGTATTTTATCAATAACCAAACAGTTTCATTAGCAGAAACTGAAGAACAAACACAATCACGAAGTCTGTCCGAACACTGACTGACTCTGATTCTTCCTACGGCTTTTGACTGTTTGCGCAGTAGCAAGAAATGTCACATGCTGTCTCCCAGCCACTCAGCACCATTCACTTGCATGTCCTCATCGTGTATAGAAATACCAAGGTGCTGCACTCAATATGCCAGCAAATTTCTAAACCTCAGCAGTGGCCAGAAGATTGGAAAAGATCAGTCTACATCCCAATACCAAAGAAGGGCAGTGCCATAGAATGCTCCAACTACCATACAATTGCACTCATTTCACACGCTAGCAAGGTTATGCTCAAAATCCTCAAAGATAGGCTTCAGCAGTATGTGGACCAAGAACTCCCAAAAGCACAAGCTGGATTCCGAAGGGGCAGAAGAACTAGAGACCAAATTGCTAACATGCGCTGGATTATGGAGAAAGCCAGAGAGTTCCAGAAAAACATCTACTTCTGATTCATTGACTATGCAAAAACCTTTGACTGTGTGGACCACAGCAAACTATGGCAAGTTCTTAAAGAAATGGGAGTGCCTGATCACCTTCTCTATCTTCTGAGAAATCTGTATGTGGGACAGGAAGCAACGGTTCGAATTGGATATGGAACAATTGATTGGTTCAAAATTGGGAAAGGAGTACGACAAGGCTGTATATTGTTCCCCTGCTTATTCAACTTATATGCAGAATACATCATGCAAAAGGCTGGACTGGATTATTTCCAAGCCAGAATTCAGATTGCCGGAAGAAATATCAACAACGTCAGATATGCAGATAATACCACTCTTATGGCAGAAGGTGAGGAGGAATTAAAGAACCTCTTAATGAGATTGAAAGAGGACAGCGCAAAAAATGCTCTGAAGCCCAACATAAAAAAAATCAAAACATCAACATCAAAAAGATAATTGCCACTGGTCCCAGCACCTCCTGGCAAATAGAAGGGGAAAATATGGAGGCAGTGACAGATTTTACTTTCTTGGGCTCCATGATCACTGCAGGTGGGGACAGCACCCACGAAATTAAAAGACGCCTGCTTCTTGGGAGGAAAGTGATGACAAACCTCGATAGCATCTTAAAAAGCTGAGACATCACGTTGCTGACAAAGGTCTGCATAATTAAAGCTATGTTTTTTCCAGTAGCGATGTATGGAAGTGTGAGCTGGACCATAAAGAAAGGTGACCGCCGAAGAATTGATGCTTTTGAATTGTGGTGCTGGAGGAGACTCTTGAGAGTCCTCTGGACTGCAAAGAGAACAAACTTATCCATTTTGAAAGAAATCAACCCTGAGTGCTCACTGGAAGGACAGATCCTGAAGCTGAGGCTCCAATACTTTGGCCATCTCATGAGAAGATAAATCTTCCTGGAAAAAACCCTGATATTGGGAATGTGTGAAGGCAAGAGGAGAAGGGGACAACAGAGGATGAGATGGTTGGACAGTGTGTCATCGAAGCTACCAACATGAATTTGACCCAACTCCAGGAGGCAGTAGAAGACAGGAGGGCCTGGCGTGCTGCCCTGGTCCATGGGGTCACAAAGAGTTGAACACGACTTAATGACTAAACTACAAAAAGAACCTATGATACTGCCAGCTGGACTGAGTAATCTATTTCTCCATGTTTCTGTCACTTGTTATGTAGTTTTCTCTTTACAAAAAATCCCAACTAGTTCTAAAGATGCCCCAACAAACCTATCACTTTTGGGGCATTTTATGGTCACAACTAGTGTAACAAAATTGGAACAAAAAGGTCACATGCTGCTTTTCAATAAACCATGATGGCATGAGACAGACGCTATGTACTCCAGTTGTCAGCAAACTGCTCCCACTCAGGGAAAACTGAAATCCAGGTGAAAATGCAGGAGAATAGAATTCACTGGGATGAAGAAATACCCTACATTACAAGTAGCATATGTTTTGTTTTACTTGTTTGATTTGCTTTTATTTGAAGTTTTATTCCACCTTGTATTTTCTGACTCTGGACCCACAGGTGGAACACACTTGATTCTGCATGTACCAACACTCCTTTTGGCACGGGGCTATTTTTAATGCTCCACAAAACTGGAATTTTCATTGGCGGTCAGATATAGCCCATTATTCAAACAACAATCTTTCTATCCTAGGGCAAGATCAGGATTCAGTTTCTATAATTCCTGGTCTCTTGTTACTTGCAAACAGGTATCACTAATACAACTTGTAGTCTGTTGCTAAACAAATGAAAATGATTTATGAAATACAGATTCTGAACCTGGCATGTTTAGCCACTGGCTATTTTGTTTCAATTGTAACAAAAATCTCAGGAATTGCAGAAACAATAGGTTCAGATATGAGAAACGTAAATTAACCCTCACCTGAGAGGATTTTTTTAAAAAAAAATGAATAACTCTTGGATTATTTTCCCATTTCATGGGAGTTTTGATGTCCTGCAGGGTACAAAAATGTCCCATGTCCACAGAAGTATGTTTGTGGATGTAGAAACAATGAAATTCGTAATATTCAAGTACCTACAGCCGGAAAACACATGTTCACAGGTAGCAGAATATTTCTTTCAAGTAGCTGAAAGGCCTCCTTTTCAACAAAAAAGTGTAATTAGCACAATTTTTGTGTTTTTTAAAAAAATACGATTACTTCCAATTTAAAATGATAAAAAGAACTTATTTCGAACCTCCAAAGTAACAAACAAACCCTGAAGGACAACAGCTGTCTTTATTTGTTGGCGATAAGACTTAGTTATTAATGGACTCATTGGGCAATTTCCCATCCCCTAAACAAAGCTGGTCTGCTGATGAGTTTTGCAAGCAAATTTCATACACATGATGCACTGACGTAGTTTTCTCATCTTCTGCCTGAGTAGAGGACTAATAGCCATCTATAGACCAAAAGCACCAGATAGCACAGGATACTCAAGACCCTAGAGATGAACATCTACATTACACCATATAAAAATAATTAGAAAAATCGTCTGATCCGGAAGGAGGCAGTGCCTGTGGGGTAACCCAACATTATTCCCAATAGCGCAGATTCACTGAACTAAATGTGATGTGTTAGTCAAATGTAATATAAATTAACACTATTAACTATCCAAAGTTCAAAGCTATGTCCTGACCAGGATAAACTATGACTAATCTTACTAAAATATGACAGTTTCAACCCTTATTAAAATATACTATTAAAAGGCTTGATCTTAATTTTTCAAATTATAAAATGCCATCTCCTTCTCACTGGACTCGAGTCACAATTCTTGCTATGTTTCATTGCAACTGCAAAAAGACATATTGTCCAATGCTGGAAGACACCACAAATTCCACAAGCTTTAGAAAGGCTTGAGATAATCTGTATAACAGCTTTAACTGACCTATTTCAGAAGAGACTGTAGTAGCACAACAAACAGACAAGATTTCAAGGCAGATGGCCACTGTTCATTAACTTTTGTAATAATTGGCTTAAAAATAATGTAATGTTCATATATCCTTTTTCTGTGCTATGAAGACTCACTTTGTTGCTAGACTTTAATTCTGCTTTGCTGCTAGCAAATTTTAAAGCAGGCCACTGGGACCTCAAGACCAAAGGCCTAATCTAGCCTGCTGAGTCTAGAATCTGGCCCACTGGAGGTTTCAAATCCCTCCCCCTCAATGGAGAAATCCTTTGGCCAGCTCCAATCAGTGATTGAAAATAAATGAGGATTTCCCTGTGGGCAGCCTTGTGTCCCAATCAGAAAGGAGAGCAATGTATAAAGAAAGAGGTATCAATAAAGCTTGCAACATCATTCAGCATCATTTTAAGAAGCTAATTACTTTGTGCTGTTCCTTTTTTTCTAAATACAGTGGTGCCTCACATAACGATGTTAATTGGTTCCAAACAAAACATCGTTATGTGAAAACATCGTTATGTGAAGCACCATTTCCCATAGGAATGCATTGGAAACCGGTTAATCCGTTCCAATAGGAATGGATTATCCGGTTTTCTCCCTCCCCCCGTGGCTTATAATTCACTGTCATTAGTTTCTGTCACTAATAACATGTTTATCATATAAAATTATGCAGGGGATTGATGACGTGGATAGAGGGAAGCTCTTTTCCCTCTCACACAATACTAGAACCAGGGAACTTCCACTCAAATGGAGTATTAGGAGAGTGAGAACAGAGAAAAGAAAATATTTCTTTACCCAGTGTGTTGTTAGTTTGTGGAACTCCTTGCCACAGGTTGTGGCGATGGCATCTGGCCTAGATACCTTTAAAAAGGGATTGGGAAGATTCCTGGAGGAAAAGTCCATTGTAGGTTACAAGCTATGATGAGGATTCATCATTTCTAGGCTTAAAAGGAAGGTACCTCCAAATGCCAGATGCAGGGGAGGGGGATGGATCAAAGCGATCCTGCAGTGCTTTGATCTCTTCCCCCCTACACTTGCTAACCCCCCACTTACATTTCTTAATTTGGGGTTAGAAAAGTAGGAGTGTCTTATACATGGGGGCGTGTTATACACGGCAAATACGGTAGTTGTCTCGTGTGCTCCCAGAGGCATCTAGTGGGTCCCCTGCAAGATATAGGAAACTGGACTAGATGGTCCCTTCGCCTGATCTAGCAGGGCTCTTCTTATGCTCTTATCATATACTGTGACTTTCTTGGAGTCTCACTTGCAGATTTTTCACAACACCTGCTGTCTGATCCTTTTAACTAGGAAGAAGATCTGAATATGAGATTTTCTGCCGATAACACAATAAACTGTGAGTCTCTGCCTGTCTCCCACAAGTGCCTCTCGCTTGAATTAAACATTCTACTCACCGACACAGAGGATGTTGAAGCTGAACCCTTGTGCCACTGACTTACTGACAAGTTGATCGGGAAGACTGTCAAAACCAACATGGCCTCCCAGAGAGAGATTCCGTTTTTCTTCATTCTGTGGAAAACAATAACACCATTTAGTGGGGGTTCAGTGACAGGATGTAAATACGAAGGGGGGGGAATCCACAATATATCAGAAAAATTGGGAGATAGCTCCCATTTTATTTGAAGCTGAGCAGATTTCCCAAGTCACAGAAACAATTCTAGAGCTGCCCACACAGAGATTTATTATGTTTTTATGTATGCTGCATTCCAGAAATACTGGTAATTATCATCAAGCATCAGAAGGAAAAGAAAATCCCTCCCTGATCTTAACAGGGCATTATCTTAAAGAGACAGGAAATTAAACTGTGAAATGATTTTCAAAGAAAAATTAAAATACAATATGACCCATTGTGTAAAGTGGAGGGAGGCCAATTCCATGTTTATTTATCATTCCTAATCCTTTCATGGGACGTGGTGGCACTGCAGGTTAAACCACAGAAGCCTCTGAGCTGCAAGGTCAGAAGACCAGCAGTCGTGAGATCGAATCCATGCGACGGAGTGAGCTCCCATCACTTATCCCAGTTCCTGCCAACCTAGCAGGTCGAAAGCATGTAAATGCGAGTAGATAAATAGGTGTCACCATGGTGGGAAGGTAATGGCGTTACGTGTCTAGTCGCGCTGGCCACGTGACCACTGAAACTGTCTACGGACAAACGCTTGCTCTACGGCTTTGAAACGGGGGAGAGGACTGCCCCCTCGAGGCGGAGACGACTGGACATTTGTCAAGGGGAATCTTTACCTTTACCTAATCCTTCCATTTCCTGAAGTATCCTGTCTCTGAATCACATTCAGCCAACCACTGCTTCTTAGAAGTCCTTGCTCAGTTTCCTTTGACTCTGTCATAAGCAGCTTTGTTCAATCACACTCCCAAGGGGAGAGAAGGAGGAGGGTTGCATGTCACTCTATAAGATGAGAGTGAATCAGCTCACCTCACCATCTGTGACTTCATCAGTTTCTCTTGTTAACAAGTTTCTCTTGTTAAAGAAATATCTTGTTCTACCAGCACATCTTCCTCATCTTCAGGAATTTCCTTCTTTAATTTTGAAAGAATTGAGAGATACGTATAAAAAACATACAGGGTCTGAAGGAAATGGGTTTACAGACGGACTGGTGGGCAATGTCAAAATTAGAATCAAGGTTTAAAAAAGACATAATGGGTTTTTATGAAGGGAAGGTTCAGACGGATAAATTATGGATTTATACTACTGATAAGATGATACAAAATGTATACTTTTTGTTAGAATATAATTTAGAAGATGAAACGGTGAAAGCAGTGATGATTGGATGTGAATGTGGAATGACAAGCATAGATGGATTAAACCAGTAAACTTGAGAGAAAATGTTTTAAAGATGTTTTATCGATGACATTTCACACCTGTTAAACTGGTAAAAATGACATCAGGGGTTAGCAATTTATGTTGGAAGTGTTCTTAGCAACCTGGGACTTTTTTTTCATATGTGGTGGACATGTGACAGAGCAAAAAGTTTGGAGACAGATAAAAGATATTACACAAGAAATTATACAACAGAAAATAGCTTATAAACCAGAAATGATTTTGCTGAATATAATGCCAGAAATCATTGATTAAAAAAAATTAAATATATGTTGTTACACATATTTACAGCTGCAAGGCTGATCTGGGCCCAAAAATGGAAAAATCAGGAAAATCCAAAGATAGAGGAGCTCTTTAAAACATTATGAGATATTGCAGAAATGGACAGTTTGTCAGAGGCATTATGTGAGAACCCGAGAATATATGTTAAAGAAAGCTGGAAAATGTTTTATGATTGGGCCCAGAAAAAAACATGAGTAGAGAATATAATATATGTTATTGATTTTAGTATTGTAACACAGCCATGGAGTCAAGATTTATATTAGTTATTGTATTGTTGTAAAGACTTCCCTATGTTTATTTGTTTTGTCTTGTTTTTCTTTTCCTTTCCCCCTATATTTGTATTCCTTTGACTGTTGTGTGTTTGTTTGTTATATAACAACAACAGCAGCAGCAGCAGCAACACTAATGGAAGATGTTCAGAAGAAAATGCTTTTCCTCACAATGCCATACTTTTATGCTAGGGAAGGCCTCAGACATTAAATATATGCCATTCATGTAGCTACTGAGGGGTCAGTTGTTTTGCCTAGAGCATTTGCCTCCCCCCACCCAGCAGTTCTAGTGTCAACTCATTTTAATGGTCCTGCTGGCTTCAAAATGACATGGGGAAACACATAAATATCCATATTTATGGATCCATTCTCTTCTTTCTCGCCCACATAAATTCTGTCTGATGTGCCGGAAGCCAGAACAGTCTAGTGAATCTACATGGTTGTATAAACCTTGACTAACTGCCAATTTTAGAAATTTATTTCCATTTAGGACTTGGAGACTTCTCTCTCTAATCTCCGTATTACTAAATAGAAACAAATTATTTAATTACCCTACTGAAGCATAACTCAAGACATGTTTACTTCCCTCTTTGAAAACATGCAACACATACATTCTGTTTGGAAAAGAATCCAAAAGTAGATGTGACATTAGCTGGATTTCAATAATCCGTAGGGTCCCTTCACCGCTCTGCATTTCTAAGATAATTATTCTTATAAATCACCAAAAGGATTTCAGCCATTATTTACTAATTATTTATTAACATGAATGTATTCAAATATTTCAAAGAAGAAGTAAACCCAACAGATTTATAATCTGCATTACATAGCAACTGCTAAATATATATACTGTACAGCTAATCCTGGAAAATACCAGACATTCTGAACATTTCAGGAAGTTTTGAATTTATAAAAATAAATAGTAAACATAAATACCTTATAAAAACCAGTCCCACAAAGAAACAGAGTTGAGTACACTAGTAATAATAATAGTTTAATCATTAGATATCTTTTCCTTAAAAAGACTCAAAAAGTCTTTATAATATTAAAATATTCCAAAGATAGAAACAATATTCCAGCAATGTAGAAACAATATTCCTCCAGTAACAAAAAAATATAGTGGCAATCCACTGTGATAATGCTTATCTATTTGGTAGTACACGAATGATTTGCAATGCTACAAGATTAAACCACCATCTTCTCAGAATTGAAGCAATTCTCTCTCATGGCTATACTGCTGGCAGACTGAAATTCCAAGCACAGAAATTCACAATACAGTACAGTACAAGGTTCAACATGATGGTAAAGGCATTTGGGCTCGTCCGATATCCACAAAACCTTTTCCCCCAAATAGCTGACCACCTCCATTCTCTCTGCTCCCAATAGCTTCTGTACTAGAAACTTGAAATAATGCCCGTTCATGCCTCCCAAATGAACCAGACATTTCTCATATGTCTAGGGCAGAAACAGGAACAACTAGGAGAAAGTGCAGAGAACCACCACCTCCTCACCACCTTGGATACCATTATTATTATTTTTGCTACTACCCTTACATGTCTCTCCTGTACTTTCACGGCCCTACTATAGAAGTATAGTCTCTAACTATTTGCTGATGTTCTTTGCTTTTCTCCTCCCGACATCACAGTCATCCACATCCCAGATGAATTATTACAAGTCCCACTGGGACATTTTAGCTCAGCTTCACAAGTTCATTAATAAATTAATTACTAGCCTGACAATATAGTATCACTTACCAAACTGTATGGCAATGTCAAATGTTAAAGTGTAAGCAAGCATTTTCCTGTGCACATTTTTTATTCTCTAAATATCAGCAGCTGAGGAGCAAAAAGTTAGGGAGCAGAGAGGGGCTGTCTAACCTTACTTCCTCCATAGTCATAATGAAAATCATACACTGAAAAATGGTACTTTGCTATGGGAAGGCAGCTTCAATTGGTGATAGTGGGAGATTCTTTCAGGGTCAGTTTTACCTTCTTGCAGAAAGGAAGGGGAGGCAACAAGATTGGAGAAGGGAGGAAAAGGATTAAACCTTCAGCCCAGGGATCACGTTCCCAACTCTGCTTCCTCTACCTCCAATCCAATAAAAACACCTTATGCTTATACCATGGGACTGGGAGGAAATACCAATTCTTGTCTTCCTAGTCACCTGAAAACCACATTCCTTTACTACTATTAGCCTTGTTACAAGCCTAATTTTTCTATTCAAGTACAAACAAATTATAGACAAAAAAACTGACTGACCATTTTCATACTACATGCAAATTTGCCAGAATAAGCCATGCTTTCCAGCCCTTGCTTGATCTGAAATGCAAATACCAAGAGAAAACAGAAGCTTTCAAGGACTTTGCCATCTTTGCTGCCTGAAAAGGGAAGTAAACAAGGCTCTGCCAGAGAGCTATGATTAGAATATGAATGCCCCAAAAGACCAGATACATGTTTCTAGGCAACAGCCAGAATTGGTGTAACAGGTTTAAAAGAAAGCTCTTGCCATAGCTGAGTGAAGTCACAGAGATCACTTGAAAAAGGAAGATGAAAAGATAATATATAAATAATCTTCTCCCCCACTTTCTCAGATATAATCGCTGTTGATTTAAAGGATGGAACAGGCAGACAGGACTGTACAGATCATTTCTTTAAAAGAGTAATATTGTAAAGCCAGTGAAGGGGACTTCTGTTGCATATGGTGCCATTTTATTGCAACTTTCTGTGTGATTTACAACAACTGTTTTGACCCCAGGACAAAATATCAGCAGGATCAGCTGTCAATAATGCTTGTCATCAACCTCCATGCAAAAACAGATTTATGCAGTCAGATCAATTCCTGCACTCTGGGCAACCAGCCCTACCTAATGATAAATAAGAGTTGCATGCTTGGAATCTCATACTGCAATTTGCCTCTTTGGAAGGGATCATTTTCTCAGGATTCCGCCATGTCATCAGTTCAATGATTTGAGGCAACAGAAGCCTTGTTAGGTAGTTAGAGCATAGGAAAGTTACTTCATAGACTACAACATCTAGAAACTGCAGCTCAAAACAATACCTATTCCAACATCCCAATGTTAAAACAACAAAACCACCAGTAGATGAGTATGGTCCAAAAAGCAAGGATA